GTTGATTTTGTCGAGCCTTTCTGCATCTATTCCAGGATAATCATGTGGATTTGTCGTTGGTTCTGTTTATGTGATGGATTACGTTTGTTGATTTGGAATGCTGGTGATTTTTTCCATATTGATTTTGTATCCTGAGACCGCTGAAGTTGCTTATCAACTTAAGGAAGTTTTGGGCTGAGACGATGGGGTTTACTAAATATACAATAATGTCGTAGTACAAGCAGAACAATTTGATTTCCTCTCTTCCTATCTGAATACCCGTTATTTCTTTCTCTTGCCTGATTGCCTGGCCAGAACTTCAATACTATGGTGAATAGAAGTGGTGGGGGCATCCTTGTCTTGTGCGGTTTCAAAGGAATACTTCCAGCTTTGCCCATTCAGTATGATATTGGCTGTGGGTTTGTCATAAATAGCTCTTATTATTTTGAGATATATTCCATCAATACCTAGTTTTTTGAGAGTTTTTAGCATGAGAGGCGTTGAATTTTGTTGAGGCTTTTTCTGCATCTATTTAAGATTATCATGGTTTTATCATTTAATTTCTCTTTATGTGTTGATTGCGTTTATTGATTTGCATATATTGAACCAGGCTTGCATTCCAGAGATGAAGCCCACCTGATCGTGGTGGATAAAGCTTTGACGTGCTGCTGGATTCTGTTTGCCAGTTTTTGTTGAGGATTTTCGCATAGATGTTCATCAGGCATATTGACCTGAAATTTTCCTTTTTTATTGTGTCTCTGCCTTGTTTTGGAATCAGGATGATGCGGCCTCATACAATGAGTTAGGAGGATTCCCTCTTTTTCTATTATTTGGAATAGTTTCAGAAGGAATGGTACCAGTTCCTCTTTGCCTCTGGTAGGGTGGTCTGTGAATCACAGCCTGGTCCTGGGCTTTTTGTTGTTGGTAGGCTATTAATTACTGCTTCAACTTCAGAACTTGTTATTGGTCTATTGAAGTTCAGTTTCTTCCTGGTTTAGTGTTGGGGTGTGTGTGTCAAGAATTTGTCCATTTCTTCTGAATTTCTAGTTTATTTGCATAGAGGTGTTTATAGTTTTCTCGGATGGTAGTTTGTATTTCTGTGGGATCAGTGGTGATATCCCTTTGGTAGCTTTTTTATTGTGTCTATTTGATTTTTCTCTCTTTTCTTCTATATTAGTCTAGCTAGTGGTCTATCTATTTTGTTAATCTTTTCACAAAAGATTAACTCCTGAATTCATTGATTTTGAAGGTTTTCATCCTCTATCTTCTTCAGTTCTGCTCTGATATTAATTATTTCTGCTTATCTGCTGCTAGCTTTTGGAATTTGTTTGCTCTTACCCACTTCTCTAGTTCTTTTTTTTTTTTTTTTTTGAGACGGAGTCTCGCTGTATCGCCCAGGCTGGAGTACAGTGGCGCGATCTGGCTCACTGCAAGCTCTGCCTCCCGGGTTCACGCCATTCTCCGCCTCAGCCTCCGAGTAGCTGGGACTACAGGCGCCCGCCACCGCGCGGCTAGTTTTTGTATTTTTAGTAGAGACACCATGTTAGCCAGGATGGTCTCGATCTCCTGACCACCGTGTCCACCCGCCTCGCTCCCAAAGTGCTGGGATTACAGGCTTGAGCCACCGCGCCCGGCAGCTATAGTTCTTCTAATTGTGAGTTAGAGTGTCAATTTTACATCTCTTCCACTTTCTGATGTGGGCATTTAGTGCTATAAATTTTCTCATAACACTGCTTTGGCTGTGTCCCACGAATCTGGTATGTTGTGTCTTTGTTCTCACTGGTTTCAAATAACTTTGTTATTTCCGCCTTGTTTGTTATTTACCCGGTAGTCATTCATGAGTAACCTGTTCAGTTTCATGAACAATCATGTGGTTTTGAGTGAGTTTCTTAATCCTGAGTTCTGAATTTGACTGCGGTATGGTCTGAGAGACTGTTATGATTTTCATTCTTTTGCATTTGTGGAGGAGTGTTTTACTTCCAATTATGTGGCCAATTTTAGAATAAGTGCTATGTGGTGCCTAGGAAGAATGTGTATTCTGTTGATTTTTTGGTGAAAGGTTCTGCCAGATGTCTATTAGAGTCCTGTTTGGTCAGAGCTGAGTTCAAGTCCTGAATATCCATGTTAATTTTCTGTCACAGTTGATCCTATCTAATATTGACAGTGGGGTGTTAAAGTCTCCCACTATGATTATGTGGGAGTCTAAGTCTCTTTGTAGGTCTCTAAGAACTTCTTTTATGAATCTGAGTGCTCCTGTATTTGGTGCATGTATATTTAGGATAGTTAGCTCTTCTTATTGCATTGATCCCTTTACCGTTATGTAATGCCCTCCCTTGTCTTCGTTGCTTTAAAGTCTGTTTTATCAGAGACTAGGATTGCAACCTGCTCTTTGCTTTCCATTTTGCTTGGTAAATATTCCTCTATCCCTCTATTTTGAGCCTATGTGTGTCTTTGCATGTGAGCTGGAGTCTCCTGAATACAGCACACTGATGGGTTTGTCTATCCAGTTTGCCAGTCTGTGTGTGTCTTTAATTGGGGCAGTTAGCCCATTTACATTTAAGGTTAATATTGTTATGTATAAATTTGATCCTGTCATCATGACGCTAGCTGGTTATTTTGCACATTCCTTGATGCAGTTTCTTCACAGTGTCATTGGTCTTTATGTTCTGGTGTGTTTTGCATTGGCTGGTACCAGTTTTCCTTTCCATGTTTAGTGCTTCCTTCAGGAGCTCTTGTAGGGCAGGATTGGTGGTGACAAAATCCCTCAGCATTTACTTGTCTGTAAAGGACTATATTTCTTCTTCACTTATGAAGGTTAGTTTGGCTGGATATGAAATTCTGGGTTGAAATTTTTTTAGAATGTTGAATATTGGCCCCCACTCTCTTCTGGCTTGTAGGGTTTCTGCAGAGAGATCCACTGTTAGTCTGATGGGCTTCCCTTTGTGGGTAACCTGACCCTTCTCTCTGGCTGCCCTTAATATTTTTTCCTTCATTTCAACCTTGGTGAATCTGACAATTATGTGTCTTGGGGTTGTTCTTCTTGAGAGTATCTTTTAGTGATTTCTCTGTATTTCCTGAATTTGAATGTTGGCCTGTCTTGCAAGGTTGGGGAGGTTCTCTGAATAATATTCTGATGTGTTTTTCTTGGTTCCATTTTCCCTGTCACTTTCAGGGACCCTGATCAAGCACCAAGTTTGGTCTTTTCACATAGTCCCCTATTTCTTGGAGGCGTTGTTTGTTCCTTTTCATTCTTTTTCTCTAATCTTGTTTTAATGCCTTATTTCAGTAAGTTGTTCTTCAGTCTCTGATATCCTTTCTTCCTCTTAGATCTATTCATTTCGACTGATACTTGTGCTTCCACGAAGTTCTCGTGCTGATTTTCCAGCTCCATCAGGTCATTAATGTTCTTCTTTAAATTGATTATTCTAGTTAGCAGTTCCTATAGCTTGCATCAAACAATGCCCACTTCCCATTGCATTGGTTAGAACAGCCTCCTTTACCTCAGAGGAATTTGTTGGCCACCCATCTTTAGCCTTTCTTCTGTCAATTCGTCAATTCTGTCAAACTCATTTCTGTCCAATTTTGTGCCCTTGCTGGAGGTTATGGTCATTTGGGAAGAAACATTTGGTTTTGAAATTAACAGCAATTTTAGGCTTAGTTTTCCTCAATAACTTGTGCTGTGGATTTACCTACCTTTGATCTTTGAGGCTGATGACCTTTGGATGGGGTTTTTGTGGGGGGGACCTTTTGTTGATGTTGATGTTACTGCTTTCTGTTTGTTAGTTTTTCTTCTAACAGTCAGGCCTCTTTTCTGCAGTTGTGCTGCAGTTTGCTGGAGTTCACTCAGAACCTATTTGCCTGGGTATCACCAGTGGAGGCTGCAGAACAGCAAAGACTGCTGCCTGCTCCTTCCTCTGGAAGCTTCATCTTAGAGGGCCACTGGCCTGATGCCAACCAGAGCTCCCTTGTGTGAGATCTGTCAACCCCGTTGGAGTCTCTCCCCGTCAGGTGGCACAACGGGGTCAGGGACCCACTTGAGGAAACAGTCTGTCCTGTGAGCTCAGGCGCTTTGCTAGAAAGACCCTCCCTTGTCAGCATCTGCTGCTGTCTGCAGAGCCAGCAGGCAGGAGCATTTCATCCCACTGAGAGCTGCGCCCACAGCCACCCTTCCCCAGGTGCTCTGTCAAGAAGATGGGAGTTTTGTCTCTAAGCCCCTGACTGGGACTGCTGCCTTTCTTTCAGAGATGCCCTGCCCAGTGAGGAGGAATCGAGACACAGTCTGGCTTCACAGCCTCTTTGCTGTGCTGTGTTGAGTTCACTTGATCTGAACTGGGCCTCCTTAGCACTGTCAGAACACCACTTTACTCAGAAGCCTCAGTAATGGCAGATGCCCTCCCCGCACCAAGCTCCATTGTCCCAGGTGTCAGACTGTTGTGTTGCTTGAGAATTTCAAGCCAGTGGTTCTTAGCTTGCTGGGATCTGTGGGAGTGGGACCTGTTGCGTGTGCCTTGGCTCCTGGCTTCCCGGCCCCCCTTCCAGGGGGTGAACAGTTCTGTCTCACTGTGGTTCCAGGTGCCACTGAAATTTTCGAAAAGCATGCAGCTAGCTCAGTGTCTGCCCAAACAGCCACCCAGTTTTGTGCTTGAAACCCAGGGCCCTGGTGGTGTAGGCACATGAGGACTCTGTTCTGTGGATTGCAAAAATTGTGGGAAAAGACGTAGTGTCTGGCGGCATAGCACAGTCACTGGCTTCCCTTGGCTGGCGGAGGGAGGCCCAGAGGGGAGGTCCCCACTCCCTTGCACTTCCTAGGTGAGGCAACGCCCCACCTTGCTTCTGCTTGCACTCCATGGGCTGCACTCACCACCTAGCAGTCCTCATGACATGAACAGGGTACCTCAGTTGGAAATGCAGAAATCACCTGCCTTCTGCATTCGTCTCGCTGGGAGCTGCAGGCGGAGCTGTTCCCTATTCAGACATCTTGCCAGATCCTTCCAGTGTTTTTCTTTATCATAAAATTAAATTTAACTGTGGAACACTTCTATGTGGATGTGCACGTCTCCTTGTGCAGGGAGCCATGCTAATCTCTCTATATCATTCAATTTTAGTAAACGTGCTGCCGAAACCAAAGCACTACTTGGAATAATTGCTGTGAGATTTCATGATTTTGCGTGTATAAAATAGCTTATTCTTTTTTGTTTCTGAGTGGCACTTTATTTGCATGGATATGTCATAATTTGTTCATCAACTGGTGAGCTTTGTGTTGTTTTCAAATTTTGGCTGTTACAAATGAGCTGCTATGAACATTCACATATTTCCTTTTCTCTTGGAAAAATAATTAGAAGGCCATGCTGGATCTATGATTAGTGACTGTTTAACTTTTAAGGAAACTACTGAACTGTTTTCCAAACTGACTACGTTTTTTGACATTCCCATGAGCAGTACATGAAGTTTCCCTCCTTCCACATCCTCCTGCAATTACTTGCTATGGTCAGTCTTTATCATTTTAGCCCTCTAATAGATGGTGATGGTATGTTGTTGTGGTTTTAGTTTGCATTTCCTTAATATTTAATGACATTGAGTATCTCTTCATGTGCTTATTTTTCATCTGTATATCTTCTTTGTTGACAGGTTTTATCAGTAATGATGGTGGCTTTATAAAACTTTTGCTCTGTATCTATTGAAATGATCATATGGTTTTCTTTTTACTTTATTAATACTGAATTACTGCTGGCTGATATTTAAATATTAAACCAACCCTGCATTTGTGGGACAAACCACACTGAGTAGTTATATGTCATCTTTAAATAAATTGTTTAGTTTCATTTGCTAAAATTTTATTTAGAATTTTTGTGTCTACGTTAATGAGGGATATGGACCTGTAGTTTTCCTTCCTCTTCTTCTGTTTTCTTTGCCTGGTTTTGGTATCAGGTAATGCTGGGCTTATAGAATCAGTGAAAAATCCTCCCTCCTCTTTATTCTTTGAGCCTCACATAGCAGGTGTTCGATAACTATCCCGTGGGCGATTTGGTACAGAGAAAATAAAATTAATGTGGAATAAGCAAACAGAGTTTATGGTGGGAAAATGTATAATATAAAAACACATCATTAGCAAACACTGTGCCATCAAACCTGCAAGCAGGATTCACATTCGTCGTCTCTTTAATCTTTACCTGCGAGGTGGGAATCACTATTCCTGACTAACAAGTGAGGGCCTGGGATTTGTGACTTGTTCAAGATCACTTAGCTGGATGGAGTTTTCACAAAGTAAATCTTATGTGAGTCTATTCCATCCCCACTTCAGGGCAGCCATGGCTTCTGACTCCCACAGGGACAGGCCAATCCTCCCTCATCTGGGAAGCTGCTGCTGCTGCCGAGCTAGGAGAGAAGAACCTCAGCACCCTAAAGGAGAGTGGGAGGCGTGACTTCCTGTGCGAGCTTCGGAGGAAGCTGGGGCGCCGCCTGCGGGGGCACTTTCTCCCTTGGCTGTGTCTGGGTCTGCGGTGTGGGGCCCTTTCGCTTGAACTCTTCTCTCTCTGATCCCAGGACACTGGACATATATGAATATGGGAGTCCCATTTTTTCTTTTCAGGAGATCACCACATGCTGGATATGGGGTCTCAAGGGCCTTCAAACTGACATGTCAGGATACAAATGTAGGACTGGTCATTTGTGTTGAAGAAGGAATGTTCCCACCCTCATAGTCAGGAAGACCCCTACTCGTGTAGGAGGTCTCGGGAAAGTTGATAAAATGGGGATTGAATGTGAAATACAAATATTCTGTCGTCGATCCGAAGACCATTCCCACTGTTGGGGAGACAAAGTCACAGAGTCCTTCCTCCTCTCTTTCACTGTATCATCCTGGCACCTCCACACACCACCTACATTTTTACTGTCCCACGTCCACCTCCCAGTAATGTTTCCCTGCCTGGAAACCCTGAGAAACCACCACACTCTTCCTTGTGAATCTCTTCATGAGTAAAGGCACCTTCTGGGGAGCTTTTCTATAGGTTACAGTTTTCAGATCAAACGCAGGCTGCGAGTGAGCCAATCGCTGGGTCCAGAAGTCACCTCCACTGGGGTGCGGTGGGGGAGAGAAGCGAGTTACTGAAGAGGAAATCTGGGCTAGAATAAGAGGTCGACCCTCCCACTGCAGACTGGCTCCGGGTAGGATCTGGCCAGTCCCACTATCCCCTCAGCCGTGTCTCTTCTCCAGGGCAGCCCCTGTGCCTCACTGATGCTTGGAGATGCTCAACCACCAGAGGTTCAACTCCTCTGTATCACCCAGCCCGACCACTGCCCTCCCAGGTAAGCCCATGTTGACTTTGTGAGACAGGTGACTCCAGGATTCACCTTCCTTCCACCCACCTGTTCCTGCTGACTTCACTTCTTTCCCCTTAGCACAGACTCTAGAAGCCAGCTACTGGTACTTCCTCAGTTCCCTAGCGTCTTGCCTGTGACCCCTCCAGGCCCAGCCCAGTCCCTATGCTTTTCCTTCCAAGTCCTGGGCCAGAAGTGCATTTAGAGGCAGCGGCACCTGGGGTGGATTGGGGCATCACAGATTTGCCAAATCTGCAAGCCAGGTGGGCTCCATGTTGTCACTAGTCATCTTCCCTACTCCATGTCCTGTGCCCTCTCAGGCGTCAGTACCTCGTGTTTCAGGCCTCTCAATTCTCAAAGAAAGCAAACAGACAGAACAGGCAGTTCAAGCGCTCCCCGTGGGGGCAGGACACAGGGAGAAGGAGACCAGAATTAGGACCCTTTGTGAGTGTCATGGGCTCTCAAGAGATCTGAGAGGTGGCTATGGGGCTTCTCTACAAAATGCACCTCCCCAAGAATCTAGACAATTCAGAGTTCCCATCCTGGCTTATTCTTTGCAAGGGGACCCATGGCCTCAGGATATAAAAATCAAACAAAACTGAGAGACTTGGAAAGGAGTCATAAATGTGGGAAGAGGAATATTTTCTTTTACCTGCCTGTCTGTGCTTTCTTCTCCAGTCTGAAAAACAAAAACAAAAACAAAACACACAGGAAGAGGCTGACATCACAGAGGCAGGGCCCAGGAGAGCGTGGGAGGGAAAGCCCTGCATGTAATGCTGCACTCTCACCAGTTTATCCTGCAGTTTCCACGAACAAAAAAGCAGGCGATTTAGTGGTTGATACAGGACTGGGTGAGTCTCAAAGCATCAGGCAGGAGGTTGAGGATACCCACCAATTTTTCTCAGGTTCCTCCTGTGGTCACACACCCTCAGAGCTGGTGATCAACACCTCCCCCACCACACACAGAACGGACCGCGGGCAACAGGCACAGGCAGGGGACACAGGCCACAGGGCCTATCCTAAGCCCTCCAGATATCTGAGGGGCAACTCATTAGCAGTGGATGGAGAGAGGAGCGTGGCAGCTGCTCTCACTGCACACTACCAGTACTTCCTGTCCAGCCTGGAGCCAGGGTCTCGAGGCTCACCTTGTATGGATCAGGGAGGGACCCGGGAAACCATGTGTGGGGACTCAGGACGACACACACACCACCCAATTCTGCCTGGTTTCCCTGAAACAAGAAACAGTGTATTCAGTGGTGGACACAGGAACCATGCAAAGGGAGTACAAACATGACCCTGGCTGCTTGCACAGGTGGGACAAGCTGCAGGGTGTGAAGGCAGGGCCTCTCCTAGAACACTTACATGCTCGTCTCACGCAGCCCCGCACGGGCGTGTGTAGCTGTCTGGGGGGAGCAAGAGATCAGGAAGGTTCATGCTAAGGAGAGGGTCAACAGCTGGGATGCTGGCAGGTGGAGATGGAAGTGGGAGAAGGCGGCTGGGAGGAGGCGGGGATGGAGGTGGGAGAGGCATGGGAGGAGAGGCGAGGCCTCCCGTGGGAAGTGTCACTCCCAAGGAGGAAATTTGTTCTGGGGTGAAGACTCTTACTGAGATTATCATTTTATCTCAGTCAGTTTATTTCTCTTTTTATGAAGTCTTTGCAACTACCCTGAAATTTTCTTATAAGACTCTTGTTGTAGCTAGTAGAAATTTATTTATTTTTATATATTTATTTTTTGAGTCAGGGTCTCACTCTGTTGCCCAGGCTGGTGTGCAGTGGTGCGAACATGGCTCACTAAAGCCTTGACTTCCTGTGCTCAAACCAGCCTCCCATCTCAACTTCCTGAGTAGCTGGGACCACCGTGTGAACCACCACACCCATTAATTATTTTATTTTATTTTTAAAATTTTTTTGTAGAGAGGAGTTCTGTCATGTGGCCCAGGATGGTCTGCCTCCTGGGCTCAAGTGTTGCTCCCACATTGGCCTCCCAAAGTGCTGGGATTACAGACCACTGACCAACACACTCCAGCCTGTTTGTAGGAATTTATGTGAACTCTTTTTGTAATGAAAATCAATGATCTGCTTATCCTGTGCTCCATGTAAAGTAGAAAGGGATTGGCAGAGGCTGGCGTTTTCTGAAGGAGCCATTTCAGGCCAGCACAGAGGAGGCTGAAGACTGGGTTCCCTCTGCCTCCGGTGGTGGACCCTGGGGGCCTAGGGCTGGAACAACAGAGCCGGAGGTGTGTGAGGGGCAGCCTGATACCAGCTCCACAGGAACCACCAAGAAGGTATGGGCCCGTACTTCTCTCTCTCACTTACCTTTGGATTTGAAGAAAACAATTGTCATCCCGACAACACCACATGAGGCACACAGAGTAATCCAGGTAAAATAGAGGCCAGGCGCCAGGTGAAGGCTGGAAAAAAAGTCTCTGAAAAAACAGTCCCACCCGACCCCTTAGTGATTACTAACAGGTAAGACAATTTCGCCCATTTAAGGGAATCTCCCAGTACCCCAAGATGAAAACATTTTTCTCCAATTTCTCCTACAGATTTAAAGCTTTGCATTTCTGGCACTAAGTCTGATCATCTGGATTTTATACATATACTCACGTGTGTGTGTGTGTTTGCGTGTGTGTGTGTATGTAATGAGGCAGAAGTTCAATGTCATCTTCTTCTAAGCAGGTATTGACTGTGCTGGCAATGTTTATTAAGAATGGACCTTGCTTCACACACCACACATGCAAAGGTCACCTCTGTGTACCTCAAGTTTCTGTTCAGAAACTGGATTTGTTTCATAGGCTTTCTGTTGCTTTCTC